GGGTTGATCTCATCAACAATCTTCCAATGTCTTTTTCATCGGGGCCAGACTAGATTACACATTTAATCTCACATTTAGTCTGGATTATCAGGCTATAATCCAAATTTACCATCAATGAAACTGATTGAAATTCTATATTAACCATATTAAGTCCCTGATTGAGCTTGAAGTTGTGTTTTCTATGTTGTTATGAATTAGAAACTGTCCATAAAGTCTTGATTGAAAGGATAAAAACTCCTCAGGTTTAGCAGAGACCAGGTCGTTTATTCAGAGGAAGAAGATAAATGTTAGTGATGCTTCCCATCCTCACATCATTTCTGTTAAAGCTTGTTTTTTTCCACCAGCTGCAGCTGTGGTTCCTGTTACTGAGAATGAAAGCTGGTTCAGCTGCAGCTGCCTTCATTTCTCGTTATTTTACCAAACATGCTTTAATTAACCTTAAAAAATAAACACAGTTTACGTCTATTTTAAAAATACAATCACTGTTTAATCTGTTCTACGTCACTGTTTGAAAGCAAACACGAAGGATGACGGTTGCAAAGGTCCGATGCTCTCACAGTGCCAGGAAGGGGCGGAGCTTGTGCTGGAGCAGGAATGGCCCCTCCCACTTCTACGCACAATACTCTGCAAACACAAACAGTTTGGATAAATAAAGCAGGAGGTTAGCATCCAGACCAGGGTGAATCTGAAGATAATAACCTTTGTGGTGCGGCAGTCGGACGCTCTGCTTCAGGTTATGGCAAGCTGAGTTCCTGAGAAATGCTGTCACCACCTCAGACGCCGAGTCCTTCTGCCGTACTTCAGGTCAGAGCACAGAAAACGGATCCATTAAGCCATCGGACAGAACGACTGATGGAACCAACCAGACCAGAGAAGCGACCCTTAACGATAATCCTACAGACGTCTTACCATACAGCATGAACCTGTTGAGGGAGTCTACGGAGTCGGCCTCTGTCTGCCGCGGCTCCACTTCCTGGAAGATTATGCAGTCGCGGCAGTTGGCCCACGCACCGTTCCAGAGCAGGTTCCTTCGCTGAGGCCTCCCTGGATTAACAGCAGAGATACTCTGATGGTTCCTTCATTAACGGCTAAATAATTAAGATCCTTTCTCAGTGGGAAGATTTATTTTAATGAACCGAGGAGAAAATCTACCAGATTTAGTCTCGATCCTCAGCCCAGTTTACAGAGACAGACTACAGACCAGGACACCACTACCTCCATCCCTACCACCCTTAGAGGGAGACCAGATCCACATACGTCTCCCTCCGTGCCTCATCACACACACAGACCATTTCATGGTGCATCACACTGCCTGTGTCCTTCCAAGTAGAAATCCTCCTCCTTCCTTCTCTTCATACCTCAGCCTAAATAAAGGAAATGATTCAATATAAACTACAGTGAAGCTAAAATGGGGGAACTTCCTGTGGAACACAGGATAAGGAAATGACCTTATGTTTGCTGCAAAGATGAACTTATTACTAAGATGATGTAATAAAGTTAATAAGCAACAGAAAGCAACAACCAGACAAAGGCTTTTCCCTTTCAGCCCTCAGGAATATTCTGAAGAAGGGAACTGATGAAGTTCTCATGGAAAATTGTTTTTCTTTTCCTGTTTCCCTTTTTTTTTCTCAGATTACCTTCAGGCAGTGAAATCAGCTGCTCTAACCCAGGAAGAACCACTGATGTAGGTGATGGATGGGAGCAGGCGGTGCTTCTCTTACCTTCCAGCAGCAGGTCATCCCTGCCAGGCTGGATGTAATAGGTCCAGTTCTGTTTAATGCAGGCCTCTCCCCTGAAAGAACAAAGGAGCATAAAACCAAACCCATCGTATTGACAGGAAGTGAAATTTAAGGGTTAGTATTACACATGCATCATTTTCCTCGGGTTTCATAAGCTTTGCTTCCTTTCTGAATGAAGGACCTTCGCCCCCCTGTGGTTTCCGTGTTGCTATGATGCAGATTTCCACACATGAAAGCTTCATTTTCCTTTTCAGCTTTCCTGTAAAGACGATACCTTCAGTTTAACCTCACACTGAGCCTGGTTCTGGTTCTGGTTCTGACTGGGGGATCAGATGAGGAGAATTGGACCAGGAAGCAGAGTCGTAGTTTAACAGACCTCTCTGCAGCTTCTCTACTGTTACCCATTCTTTACTCCATCCAGACCCCATCCTGCCCACGACCAAAATCTAATAAATTAGCAAATATTCCCAAAGGAGTAAATCAAGATAAGCTTATTAAAATATAAATAACTCCAATTGGGGAAAAGTCTGCTAGTTAA